AGGGTGAGAGGGACTAAAAGGCTGGGAATGAAGAGGGAAGGAAATGCTCTTCTATGTTCTGAGGAAAAATTCGGCTCCCCCCCCACGTTCCCCCGCCCCCCAGGAACCCAGTCACCTACTAAGGCGAGCACTGCTGCCTTGTCCATAGGGTCCCATTAAGGCTGCAGGCCCAGCCAGTACCTCCAGCTGGTTACACACCTGCAGGGAGGGGGACATGAATGAAAGAGTCTGGGGATCTAGGGAAAAAAGACAGGCAGAACCTCCTTTCTTCCTTCCTTTTGTCCATTCTCTTCCCATTGCTCACTAATCCTTTCATCCCATCCTCAATGAATCCGGCCTACTCCCAAGATGGCCCATTCCATCCTCCACCCAGGAACCCTCATCCCTTTCCCAAAGTCCCCTTCCTCCTCTCTCCCCAGAAGGCCCTCATCCTCTTCTCCTTCTCCCAAGACCCTCCTCTCTCCCTAGCAGGCCCACCTGCAGAAATTTATGGCTCAGGCGCTCATAATGCTTGAGGGCTGGGCGGCTGGTGAAGTAGCCAGTCCAGAATTGGTGAGGGCCATCTGCATACGGGAAGAAGTCATCCTGCTTCACTGTCCTGGGGCATGGAAGTAGGGCAAGAGTCACTGCCTGCCCCAGGAGCACTGGGGCTCCCAGCATCTCCCCCACCTACTCCCCTCCCATACCAGGTGAGGTTGGCCTTGTTCAGCTGCCACAGGTAACAGGCCGGGGTAGAGTAGAGGACGTTGATGAGGCTCCCTTTGCTTTGCTGTGGGGCAAGTCAGGACAGGAGGGTGACTAACCTGGCCTCCCGTTCCACCTGGCTGCTCCCCTCATTCCACAAAGATGTTTCCTCTCCCACTGACAAGTACCCACCTGGGCATTGACCATCTCAATCAGCTTATCCATGTTCTTGAACCACATGTTGGCATTTTCATAATGGAAATCACTACCCATGGTCATCACAATGTGGTTAGTGCGGTAATATTGGGCCTGCATAATGGGGGACAGGTTTGGATTCTCAGCTACTGAGTCTGCAGCTAGGGAGGTAGGGCCAAGCCACACTCTCTCCCCCACCCTCTACCCCCCAGGTTTCAGCTGGGTCTGCTGTCTACAATGAAACACCTCACAGGACTTCTGCGTGGGGTCAGTTTCTGGTACTGGTCAGCTTTCCCTGAACCAGCACAGGAAAATGGCCCAAAGCTATAGGCCTCAGGAGGGTGCCCTGAAGATGGAGAAACCTTAGAATTTATGTCTAAAAGGCAGAAGCCATGTGGGCCATTCCCTGTCTGCCTGGGGTCGCTGACATATAGGGATTCTGATTCATGACCAGGGACAGGTCTGACCTGGACAGTAGAGATGTTCAGGAAGTAGTTGACCAGTATTTCTGCATTGTACTCTGGGCTGTCAGGATCATCCACCACCGGGTAGTCAAAGCAAAGCACGTCCCAGCAGAGATTCAAGGGTGGATTGTAGCCATTGGGTAGGACACCTAGGACCAGGTGGTCAGGTCAAGGGTTCTCACACTCCAAGCCCCACACTGCTCTCAGGAGCTCCCCCAACCTCAGCCCCTATTCCCAGTCCTTCTTTCTTCTACTTCTAGTTCTCCCCAGGCCCTGTGAGTGCCTAACAAGCTTCAGGGAAGAGAGTGGGGAAAAGACTCTCACCAGTGAAGAGGTCGGCTTGAGGAGGCTGTAAGTTGGCACTTGCCCTCCAGACCTGCTCCATTTCCTTCTGAATCTTCCTCCTCTTCTTGTCTTGATAATCCAGACGGCCAAAGAAATAGCCATCAAAGCCCATCTGCAGGAAGGGAATCAGAGAGAGGTCAGGGCCTATGGTTCTTAACATTTGTGGGGAGGGGAGGGAAGGGTCGCCAGGCAAGAAGGGGAGGCAAAGATGAGGCAGACTCAGAGAACACTGAGGCAGACCTGGGCAAAGAGGGACGCTTGCTCCCGTGAGTGGCCGAAGGGATCAATATGCCAGGCGACTCGAGGGCGGCCACAGTCCCCAAAGGTGTCTTTCAGGAAGTTCAGCCCTAAAGTCATCTGGTCAATGATGGCTGCATAGTATGTGGTGGCCTCATCATTCATGACCCAGCCACCGTTGGCAAACTGGAGCCTCCCTATAGAGTAAAGGATGGGGTCAGGGGAGTTCTCCCAAAGATGGAGGCCTAAGGTCCCGACTCCTGCCCCCCTGCCCTCTGGAGGCCTGGCTGCAAGAAGCCAAGAGCAGGCACCAGGCTGCCAGCCTGCTCTGGGTCAGGGTGGGCCTCCACTGTGGCAGCACCCATTCCTCACCCTGGCAGACCAGTCGTCGTACGTCCTGCTGCATCTGGGCTGTCTGCTGCTTCCACCAGTAGGAGAAGAAAGCGATCTCAACATAGATGAAGCGACGGGACTCGTTGGCCAGCAGAGCTGATACCACCGAGTCCAGGATGTACTGAACGCCAGCACGCTGGATGTTATCTCGAGCTGTGGGCATTTAATGCAATTCAGTTTCTTCAAATGTTCACTAAACACCTCCTGTGTGCAGAGGCCTGTACTTGGTGCTATGGCTATAGAAATGAAATCAGAGAATCAGAGAATTTTTTTTTGTGGTGAGGCAATTGGGGTTAAGTGACCTGCCCAGGGTCACACAGCTAGTAAGTATCTAGTGTCTGAGATTGAATTTGAACTCAGGTCCTCTTGACTCCAGGGCTGGTGCTCTATCCACTGTGCCACCTAGCTGCCCCAGAATCAGAGAATTTTGAGAAAACAATATTTTCAGCTGGGGTGGTGGGGTGGATATGATGGAAGGAAGCCTTAATGGAACAGACGTGGGTAGGGGAGAATGGTCCTTTCTAGCCCGTAGAGATGGAATGAGCAAAAACTCAGAGAATGGAAAACAACAGGATAAAAAAGAGGAATAGAAAACAGTCCACTTTGGTTAGACTAGAGTATGTGAAGTGGAGCAATGTGAGGTAGCTGGGACAAGGAGGTAGCCTGGAGTCAGTCTACACATGGGCTTTGATTTCCAGGGTCAGGAATTTATACTTTAGTTTGTTAGGCAATAAAGAGCCACTGAAGGAGAAGGACATGATCAGAGTAATGATTAAGATTAATTTGACCACGATGGGGAGCTTGAATCAGAGGCAAGAAACTGAAGACCAGGGGAACTGGTTAGATTAGACAATTGTCTAAGTAAGAAGGAATGAGAATTTGACCTAGGGTGGTGGCCCTGCCCATGGAGAGGGGGACAGATAAAAGAGATATGAAGGAGGCAGAAGTGTCAGGACTTGCCAATCAATGGGAAGCTGGGAGGGAGGAGCCAAAGTTAACTGAAGTTGGGTGACTCCTAAGGTAACATATGGTTTAATGGGGAGAATGCTGGACTTGGGGACAGTCACCTTAGGAATTCCCTGGCTAGCCCACAGAGTTGAGAGGCAAGTGCTTTTTGAATCTTAAAATGCTACACAAGTGTGAGTTATTATTGCAGTGATGATATCAGCAAAAACAGAAAAGGGAAAAGGCAGGTTTGGAATAGGGAAATACAGTTTCATGTTGGTTATGTTCAGTTTTAAGTGCTGGCAGGATATTCTGGAAGTATACAGGGGTGGGTAACTAGATCTCTGGAGAGAGGTTGGGCCTGGAAATAAAGATTTTGTTTTGATCCCATCTAGCTATGGTCACAGGGTAATTATACAAACATAAAACTTGTACACTTATTACTGTAGTATTAATGCTGCTTTTTTCTGTTCAAGTGTAGAAGTTGCAAAGAGGCATATTTGGGATTGGTGTCAGAAAAAGATCCCTGAGTTATCCCAAGGAGAACAGGAAGCCTCAGCCTCACTGACGGAAGCTGAGGGCAGAACTTCCAAAGGAATCTGGCAGAGAGACTTCCACTTCATATCAGCTGAGTGGGCCCTGAGAGCAGAATGGCCCTTGGTCATGGGTACCCTTTCCCTCCCAGCCCAGAAAAAAGGACAATGGAAGCTCAGAGACCCCGAGACTGGATGACTGGCCCCCTGGTTAGTCCCAGACTGCCCTTCCTCTTACCTCCATAGTAATACTGATCCACAGTCTTGAGCCAGCCGACATCATCATGGGTATGGGGCAGGAAGTGCACATTGAGCATAGAGGGCTGGGTGGCCGGGCACAACTGGGCAGTGGGCAGAGACCCCCACCATAGCAGCTGTTAATCACCAGAAATGCCAAGCCCCTGGCCAGCCCCACCTCTCCAGGTAGGGCCCCAAAACACAAGATAGGGAGAAGGCATGGAAAGACTTGAGGGGAAGGGGGGCATTTGATGAGTCCACAGTCCAAGGTCCAACTTCCTTGCACCCTCATCTAGGACATGACCTCACTGCTCACAGGAATCTTCCCCAAAGATAAGCCCCAGCAGCCCACTGCAGAGCTGCACACTGAGAAGCCCCTTCCCCCCTTAGGGTCCCCCAGAGAGATGTACCCAGGAAACACGAAGCGGTCAGGGTGCAGCCGAGCCATCCTTCCCCCTCCCAGGGTCACTTCCCCTTTTCTCTCCCGGGCAGGCTCGGTCACGGGGAAAGGGAGAGGGGGCCGGGCCCAGCACGAGCCCCGGAGGGCGGGCGGCTCCGGCTCAGCCCCGGCCTCCCCCGGCCCCAGCTGCACGCCGCCGGCCTCTCACCTCATAGTAGTCGCAGCGGTCGGCCTGAGCCCCGGCCCCCGCGCACAGCGCCGCCGCCGCCAACAGCAGCTGCAGCAGGAGCCCCGGGGCCCGAGCACAGCAGCCCCCGGTCATCGCTCGCCTACCAGTGGGCAGCCCCAGCCTCAGCGGCCCAGCTCCGGCCCCAGCGCCGCAACAACCCGCCCGGCAGCACCGCCGCCCGGCCCTTCAACCCTTCCTCCGTCGGAGCAGGACCCCGGAACAGGGGCCCAGCCAATGGCCCGCGAGGGGGGCGGGTCCGTCACCCGACCAACCAATCAGGAGGCGGGAGAGGCGGGGCCCGAGAGAAGAGGCGGAGAATGAGCAGAGCCGGGAGAAACTTTCTTACACATCCATCTGTATTGGTTGCTACAGGTAGTTTACAAGCGGTCTGCCTCGGCCCGGGGGCGTCCGTCCCCAGTCTCGGCCTCCTGGGAAGGACCCTGGCCCAGGAGGGTGGGCAGACACTGTGGCGAGGGGCCAGGCAGGAGGTGCAGGATCCTCCTCTGCCCAAGGTGCCTGGGGCAGGGAGGCTGGAGAGGAATCTGGGGCTGGGGGGCACTGAGAGGGTCAGGGCCCAAGAACAGGCAGTCCTTCAGCAGAGGTAAGGTCAGAGTGGGGACGTTCCACCGAGGACTCACAGTCTGAAGCCCCTGATTTGGAGCAGAGGCTGGGAGGTGAACACAGGAGTGAGGAATGAACCAGTTTCTGGCTTTTTCTTCATCCTGGCCCATGAACCAATAGTGAAAGCCCTAGGATTCTGAGGTCCAGGCTGAAGAACTAGGATATTGGTGTCTACCACGGGGGTGTCATAGGCTGGGGGTTCTGGAGGTAGGACATCACCACAGCAGAAATGGAGAGCCTGGTTGGGAGGAAAGAGGGTGAGGCTGGGGCTACGAAGCAGCCCAGGAAGAACTAACTGGAGCTCTTTGAACCCTCTGACAGGTGAGGAGAAAGGAAGGCAAGAGGGGTCAAGCACACCGCCCCTCCTTCATGACACTGGGACCCCCCACCAGGGCTTTGTCCCATCCCGGGGACTTACATGAAGCTGCTCATCATCTGCTTGGTATCTTCAGAGCTTCGAGAGTTGGCAAAGCTGATGAAGGAACAGTAGACAGCAATCCAGGCACACCACTTCAGCTGGGGAGAAGAAAGGCAGAATCAGGCTGGCCTGGAGTCTTCTCCCTCTCTGACCATGAACCCTTCAAACCGGAGGTCTGAATCCTCACCCCAGGGGCATGTCTTCTCACCCAGGCTGACTGACCCTCCCCACCCTGTCCCTGGGCTGCACCTTGAGCATGAGGCCGCACATGCTGAAGATCATTCCCAGCAGGTTCATGTAGTCCGGGGTCGGATCCTCCAGGGCCGGGTTGTTCTCCGTGGCAGGTGGCTTGTACCTGGAACACGAAGGTGACACGGAAAGGGGCTCTGTCAGCCCATCTCGAAGCCCAGGGAGGAGAATCATTGAATAGGCTTTCCGTGCCCAAGCTCTCTAAGCTCAGGGTAAGGAAACAAAAGGAATCACTTTCTCCACCCTAGATCTCTCAAGTACAGGGAGCGAGTCATGAGAACGGCTTTCCCAGCCTGGGACCTGAAAGCAGGAAATCGAGCCAAGAGAAATAGCTTTTACTCCCAGGATCTGCAAGCGCACGGGAGACACGTAACCAGGTTACCTAACCCCGATGTCTAAGCGCAGGCTGGGAAATCAAAGAACCAGTTTCCCCAGATAAGGATCTCTAAGCGTAGGGTGTGAAGTCAAAGAGCCAGCTTTCCCAGGTGAGTCTAGGGAAATAGCTTTCCCTCACAGGATCTCTAAGCTCAGGTTGCAGTTATGGAATAGGCTTCACTGTAAGGAAATCTCTGAGCTTGGGGGGGTGAAGGCGGGGCTGGATTCTCACCTGAGCACCTTGTTGGGCCGCCGAGGGTCCGACATGTTGTTCGCGGACATCGCCGGGCCGGGAAGGGGCGGGGTGTGCGGCGCGCGGTAGAGAAGAAAAGCGAACCACCGGTCCTGACCCTACCCCTTCCGCTCCTGCCGCAGGCACTTCCGGTACCATACAACTCCCTAAGCTTGGGGGAGCCTCTGGGGTGTAACACTGAAGACTCGGACATTTTCGTTCCAGTTACCGCCCGGAACATGGCGTTCCCAGAGCCAAGGCCAACGAAGCCGGAGCTGCCTCGGAAATCGGTGCGGAGCCTGCCCTGCCGCCAGGGAGCCGTGCGGGCTGTGCGCTTCAATGGTCTGTGCTCTCCTTAGCCGGGAAGGGAAGAAGGGGAGGGAGAGAGAGGAGGAGGTGGGAAGGGAATGGGGAGAAAAGAGGGGAGGCGGGAGGGGGGGAGGAGGGAAAAAGGAGGGAGAGAGAGAGGGAAGGTGGGAGGAAGCCGGGGAGAGTGGAGGAGGGAGGCGAGGGCTCGGACTGTCTCCTTCCGTGCAGTGGATGGTCGATACTGCCTGACCTGTGGCAGTGACAAGTCACTGTGCTTGTGGAGCCCACTGCGGGGGACATTGCTTCGGACGTACGGCGGCCACGGGGCCGAGGTGCTGGATGCTGCGGGGTGAGGCCCCCCATCCCCCAGTCCTTCCTGAGCTGTTCCCGGAATGTGCCTTCTCCATTGAGGCTCTGGTGCACCCGGTGCCACCTTACCGAGGCCCTCTCTTCTTCCCCAGGTGTTTCCATAGCAGTTGGAACTCTCCTTTTGTTCCAAAGTCTACGTATCCACAAACTATGAACTAACCCCCAGGCAAAGGCTTCTCCCCAGCCTCTGTACCCCCACCCTCCGCCTTCATATAGCTATCTCCTGTACCCAAGTGATCCCTGTATTCTTGCACCCTACTCTCCAGTTCATTTGACAACAGCCGCCTGTGCTCTGGAGGAAGTGACCGAGCTGTTCTGTTTTGGGATGTGGCATCAGGCCAGATTCTCCGAAAATTCCGGGGCCATGCAGCGGTAAGAGCAGGGATTGGAAGGACTGAAGGGGAATCCAAAGCTGTCCCATTCCCTGCCTTCTTCCTAGCCCATGGCCCGAGAGAATCTTAGTCTTCTTCACCCCCTACCCCACCAACCTTGCACTGAGTCCTTACTCAGCTGTCTTTACCATACCATACCATGCTATGCTTCCCTTGCCTTCAAAGTCCAGTTTAAGGGCCACTACTCCCAAGAAACCCTACACAACCAAGTCATGCCTTTGCTCCTTCCCACAATCTGAACTACACTCACTTGGTTCTGGGTGGGTCTTGTGGCCTCACACAATAACCCACATTGACCAAGCATTCCTCTACCCCCATCCCATGCTGCCTTTCCAGAAGGTGAACTGTGTGCAGTTCAATGAAGAAGCCACAGTGATTGTGTCTGGTAAGTTGAGAGTCCTGGGGGTAGGGGAAGCTTCAAGAGCCTAGGTCCTGCCCCTGCTTCCATTTCACTGGGAGCTGGGTTTGGGCTCCAGGCTCTATCGATTCAAGTGTCCGATGCTGGGACTGCCGCTCACGACGACCTGACCCTGTCCAGATCCTAGATGAAGCCAAGGATGGTATATCCAGTATAAAGCTGTCAGACCATGAGATCTTAGCAGGGTGAGTGCCAAAGTAGGGAAGAGATGTGTCTGTCAGAGACCAAACAAAGCCTGGACGCTCCCAAGCCCCTCCTCTTGTGTCTCTCCCCAGTTCTGTGGATGGACGCTCACGGCGCTATGACCTTCGGATGGGAGAGCTGTATGCAGATTATGTGGGAAGTGAGTATTCAGGGCACAAGGGGCCTGGGAGGGCATAGCTGGGAGCACTGATCCTCACCCTGTCCCTTTTACAGGTCCCATCACTTGTGTGTGCTTTAGCAAAGATGGCCAGTGCACCCTCATCTCCAGCCTCGACTCTTCCCTTCGACTCCTGGACAAAGATACAGGGGAGCTGCTGGGAGAGTGAGTAAGCCTACAAAGCAGCTGGCCCCTCTTCTATTTACCCAATGTTCAATGTGAATTAAGCTCCTGTGTACAAACCTCTCCAGGCACAGAAAACAGACCCAAAGAAAGCTAGGGCAAAGGGGGATAACAGGTGTACAATTACAAAACATGAGATGGCGAGAGAGGCACCAATCAAAGATGACTTTCCTGGGGAGTGTGGGAAAGTTTCATGGTTCGAGGTCATGCCTGGGTTAGGCCTTGAATGAATGGAGAAGGGGGATTTCAGCAAAGCCAGACAGAAATGACTACATCCTAGGCCCAGGCACAGAGAACTGAGAGAGAAAAAAGTAGAGCATTAGATAAGGCAGAGTAAGGCTACCATAGGAGATCCCTGAATGCATGTTTCTTGCAGTAAGGGGTGGGAAGTCTCGAGCTCTTAGGGGGCTAGCCTGACGTCTCTCCCTCAGGTACACAGGGCACAAGAATCACAAATACAAGCTGGACTGCTGCCTGAGTGAGCGAGATACCCATGTGGTCAGTGCCTCAGAGGACGGAAACGTCTATTTCTGGGACCTCGTGGAGGTAAGTGCCCACAGCGACTAGTACCTTGCCTCCTCTCTCTTCCTTCTCACTACAGTCTGTCTTTTGTGTCACAGGGCACTCTGGCTTTGACCCTACCTGTGAGCCGAGGCGTAGTCCAGTCCCTGGCCTTTCACCCCACCGAGCCCTGCCTGCTGACTGCCTCAGAAGGCAGCGTCCACTGCTGGCGAGAAGAGTCGTTTGTAGCAGAGGATGAGTTGCCGGCTTGAGGGATAGCACAGACATACCTGGATGGGACGCGTGGATTTTATTGGCTTTAGGGATCTGTACCTAGAGACTTTATCTCAGGCCTAGGTATTTGCTGACCTTGGCCGGGGCACCATGAAAGCTGGGGATGTCTAGGGAGTAAGTGTGAGACAATAAATAGGAGGGGTCAGAAACCAGGACCCCCAGCTTCCAGGTCCTAATTGGAACCAGCCGCTCAGTCGTTGTTTTTCTCAGGAGTGAAGGCGCCGATTTTCTGGGCAAAAGTCTCTGCCACAAGCAGAGGGAAGACAAGAGAGGCATCAGCATAAACCTGGGGGAGGAAATTGGAAGACAGGGAAACATAACTAGAGGCCCAAGGCTACCTCCCCCTCTCAACACCGCAGCCTGAGACCAGACGTGCCTTAACGGGCTTTGCATCCATTCGGATCTTGCCCCAGGACACAGCTTCATCTGGCCTTGCACCCGAGTCTGAGCCGTCAAATTCCTGGGCTGTGTTGATGTAGACAGCATAATCAGCCCCATTCCTCTGTTGGGACAGGTTAGAATGAGGGGAGATGAGGGAAGAGTGGGTTCAGCTGACACTCAACCAATCACATCAGTACTTTAGACACAGCTCTCTCGATGCTCACAGCAGCCCTGGTGAGACAGACTACGGGTAATAATCCGATTTGACAGATGAGGATGGGTTCAGAGCTTAAGCCACTGGTCCATGGGGTCACAGGACAAGGGTCAGAAACTGGATTTTAAACCACATCTCTCCTATCTCCAAGTCCCACACTCTTGCCATTATACAGAACTCTGAAGACTTTCACAGTAATATGTGGGGAACAAGAACATTCTGGGTTGGTGGGAACATTCCAGAAGAGAGAGCAGCATTGTCAAACAAGTCACAGAGTCCTTGACATGCAGAAAGAAAGATGCCCAGGTGTCACAGCTGGCCCTGCAGGGCGGCCTTACCATGAGGTTAGCATTGGCAATGTGGTGTTTCACCAGGCCTCCCCCGAGGATGATCATGCCTGTGTGCTTGGCAAAGATGGCCTGAGCATTGATGAGTCGTAAATCTGGGCAAAAGAATCGGGCTTTACTGGTGACTCCTGGTTTCCCAATGCCACTACCCTCTTTGAAGCATGGTTCCCCTTTCATGCCACACCACCCTGCCCCACTGTCAGGCCCTAGGAGGTGCGGGGGAAAGCTCACCTTCCACAATGTCCAGTACAAGCCCTGGTTTCTTATATGAATGGAAGAAGACCATATCCCCAAGAGATCCATCTGTCAGAGCTGGACTTAGCACTGGGATATTGTTCTAGATAGTGGAATCAGAAGTCACTACAGGGTGGGGATACAAGACTCCCTCTCTTATCTATACTCTCCCTCCCCAACTACTGGGCCAAAAGAGAAGAGGATGAAAAAATGGGAAAAGGGCACTGAGTTCAAAGATCATAGGGACAGGGCCTCAGGGATATTTGGACAGAAATCTTAACACTCCACACCTTTTTCACTAATAGGTCATACCTTCTGCGCCCAGTAATACACAGACTCAGGATTGTTGATCTCTTTGCCCAATCGTGCAATCATCTTCGATGGTGTCCATTTCACCCCCTAGGAAAGGACAGGCCCTTGGGTCTCTTGACCTCAAGGAACACTTCCCCTCCCAATCCCTGCATGCCCCACCCCTTTGGTCCATTGGTGAATGCCCTCCCCAATGACCCCTGACCCAGGCCCTCTATCCCACTCCCTGAACTGTAGCCACCTCTGTATTTTGCTCCAGAACCATCTGGTCCAGAATCGGCATTAGCCAGTCCTCAAACTTGCAGTAATTGTTATTAGGGACAAGCAGGTTTCCAATCCTGAAGGGTTAAGGGTCAGTCACTTCAAGGCTCTGAGGCAGAGAAGCCTCCACAGTGGCCCCCCCCTTCCTCACCCATACCTATTGATGCCATTTTGTCTCAGGTCCTTCCCCTTCAGGCTAAATTCGCCCAGATATGTGGGTGCCAGGCATTTGATCAGATCTTCCTCTATACCACCTGCAGTTGTCACTAGAACATCCACCTGCAGGGCCAAGCCCAAGAGAATCAGCAGAAATCACCCTTGGCATAAGTGGTACTTTAGCCGCCCCTCTCCCCAGCTCCAAACCCACTCCTCTCCCAGCCAAAGGAGATCTTTCACTAAGCTCCTGAGGGTCTCCAGGCCTTGACCAAGGCCACTCTCCCGCACCATATTATGCTGCACCAGGTAACGAATGGTCTCTCGGACACCAGAGCTGATGAGATTTGACGTGTAGCCCAAGAAGATGGTACAGCCGGTCACTGGCCGATGGCTTGGATTCAAGTCTGTGCGGTTCTCCTCCTCCTCCCCCAGAGGCTCCAGCTTTTTCTCAATCTGGGAGAGAAGGTGGAGTGACTGTGATATCTCTCCAAACTTAAAGCCTGGGTTTGCTGGGAAGCAGGGCCCACTTAAAGGTAATGTTCCTCGAATTGTTCCATAGATGCAGAAACTGAAGTCTACTGAAGATGAAAGACCAACCCAAGATTCCAAAGGGAAACGAACTCATCCCCTGACTTGGTCCCTTAAACTCTGGATTGGGCAGAGGTACACACAGTGACACATGCTTGTATCTCAACACTTGTTCACCACTGAACACCTTGTTGCCAACAGCTTCTTTCATGCTTTGACAGTCTCCTCAGTATCCCATTGCCCCTCCAGGCTTCACCCCGGCAACGATTTCCCCAAGTTTGAAATTCCCTTTTACCCCAGGGTAAAGGCTCTCATCTTCGATCCACAGACATCAAATTATGTGGTTGGCTCCTTCACTGCTGGGTCTTCCCTTCTGGGAGCTTTGCATACAGTGGAATTATCCCTTATTCCCTCACCCACTCCTCTCCCAATGCTCTTGACATTGACGGACCCTCACTTGTCCCCATTTCTTCCTAGGACCCCAACAGTCTTAACCTAGCCCTCTTCTCCAGCCCCGCCCCCTCACCATGGCGTTGACCTGCTGCACGGCGCGGCCGAAGCTGGTGGCCTGGAAGCCGGTGGTGGCGAAGGCGCGCAGGAGAGCGCCATAGTCCAGGCCGCGGTTGAAGTCGTAGCCCCGGACCTGGACGGCCTCCACGGGCAGCGCCGAGCTGTGCCTGAGGACGGCGTCCACAACTCCCGGGGGCGGTCGTGGCCCGGGCCCCTCCCCACACTCCTCCTCCGGGGAGCCTTCCATGCGCCCTTTGGGGGAGGTTGGAGGCCAAGGTCAGGCCGCCCCGCCCGACCTCGGCTCACCGGGCGCTCAGCGCGATCCCGGCTTGCCGAGGAAGTGAGGACGGGGACCTGAAATGGTGAAGGACCGGAAATGTTGCACATCACGTGGCGATGGAGGCTCAGCTCCTTTTTCTTGACCCTCATTTCTTCTACGGAGGCCGCCGAGGCTCGAGAGCTTCGCGCGCGCTCTCCCGCCCTCTATCGATCACCCGTAGAGGGCCTCCAGGCTCCCCGCGTTGGTTCCTGGTCCCACGAGGCAGGGCGACGGTCCTTGCCTCTGCATGGTGTCTAGGAGATGCACAGGGTGCGGACTCTCCTGGCTTGGGCAGGGCCAAGGCCTCCTCACAGCTCTGGAGCTGAATAAGGTTGGTCAACACCCTGCCCCTCTGGGTCTCTAGTCCCCCTCTCTGTAAAATCACGGACTGGGAGGTAGAAGGCACGTTGGCGATCCCTTTTCTAGCCCAGTGTGCCCATTTCACAGATCAGTCAACCAGCAAAGCAGTGCAGTGCACTGAGCTAGGAAAGGGGAAAGACTGAAAGTTTAGACAGGCCATTATAACTGCCTTTATGCAGCTCAGTCTAGCAGAGAAGCTAGATTGTTTTCAGTCTGACTCTTCCTGACCCCATTAGGGTTCTCTCCGCAGTCGTGCTGGAGTGGTTTGCCATTCCCTTTTCCGTTTCATTTGATGGATATAGGAAACTGAGGCAAACAGTGTTAAGTGACTTTTCCAGGATCACACAGCTAGTGTCTGAGGTTGCATCTGAACACAGGTCTTCCTTATTCCAGTTCTGGCACTCTGTCTGCTGTGCCACCTACCTGCTGGAAGCTAGCCATGCCAAGGCATAAAATAATACACCTTATATAAGGGTAGTGGAAAGCGAAAAACGAGGGCGGGCTTACCACCCATGAAGGAATTGGGGCTCAGAGAGCTTGATGGACTTGTCCAGGGCACACAGCATCTAGGTAGCAGCCAGGAGCCCAACCACTGTCTCCTAACTCCAAATTCAGATCTTTTTCCTTTGCACATTAGATCTCCAGAACTTTGTTACATCACACACCTCATCGGTCAACAACGTTTGGACACATAGACTAGATCAATGGTCTCCAAACCTTTTGATACCATGCATCTTGCCGATTAAAAATGTTTGAGCACATAGCCCCGATATGTGTATATTTATTTGTAACTTCTCTACATAAATTTATTTATATGGAGGTGTATAATGTATAAGGGCAGCTAGGTGGCACAGTGGGTAGAGTACCAGGCCTGGAGACAGGAAGACAAATCCAGCCTCAGACACTAACTAGCTGGGTGACCCTGGGCAGATCACCTAATGCTGGTTGCTTCAGTTTCCTCATCAAGTGAGCTGGAGGAGGAAATGGAAAATCACTCCAGTATCTTTGCCAAGAAAACCCCAACTGGGGGGGAGGGGTCACAAAGAGTTAGACCCTACCGAAACAACAACGAATAATGGTATAGTGGATAGAGAGCTGGATTCAAATCCTGACACATGGCAGCTCTGTGATGATGGGCAGGTCACATAACATTGAGGTGCTCTGATGTCAACCTGCACTGGAAAAAGGAATTTCCTTACCTAGAGGATCCCCATAAGAATGAAAATCACAGTCCCTATTTCCCTACCACTGTGATAACATATGCATAATAACACTTATACAAAAATGTAAATTTAAAAAACATAATCTTTGATCACGTGGTCCAACAGGGCACCATTGACATTTATTGAATAAGGAATAGCATGGTCTGACCTGTGCTCTGAGAAAATCACTGGCAGCTATGTATGTAGAGGACAGATATAAGGCGGGGAGGCCAATTAAACTATTGGTAAAAGTCTGGGTGAAAGGCTGAAAGGTCCCAGCAAAGGTGACTGGAGACAAAAAGATCATTGTGAGAGATAAAAAGAACACAACTATTGATAGGTTATGTGGGGTAAGACAGGAATTAAGGACTATGGGGTGGCTTTGAGTGTGAACACCGACTTGGGTACCAGGAATAGGGAAGTTCCTTAGGCTTCAAAGGACCACAATGTATCCTTATTCTCGGTGACTCAGTGACAATGAAGTGGGAAGAAGAGAGAGGGGACTTCTTCCTGGGAGGCATGGTCTGACCATGAGAGGATCTTGGTGGCACAGCCTTGCCTTGGCCTGCACTCACACGTGCCACAGGTTGGCTGGGTCAGGATGAGGTTAGAAGCACCCTGAGGGACAGGTACCCGGTGAGGCCACAAGAGGTCAGTGGTGGGACGTGGTGCGAAAGATTGCAGGAGGTTGTTTGTTCTGAATTTCACCAATACGAATTTAAGCATTTCCATTTAGATAGTAGAAGAGGAAAAGGATCCCTTATTATATTCAGATTATTTTTCTTTTGGTGTGGATGTGTTGGAAATCAGCCCACGATTGCTTATGGAGGGGAAGGTGAAGGGCAACCCATCTTCCCACTCCTCTGGTCACGTACCCGTTGGAGTCATACCCCAGCACCCTCGAGAGTGCATGGACTCTACTTTGGAGACCACCACTGTAGGTGCTCTCTATTCCTTCTGGTTGTGATATCCTATAATCCATAAAATCAGGCAGGATTCTGAGACATCAAGCTATGTGGTTGGACCCCCAACACTAGGTTTCTTCTGGGTTCCTGCCTGACAGATATAGGGTTACTGTGATGTCCAACCCTTGCCCACCCCTCAAAGGGATCACCCACCCCACAGCCACTGCAGCTGCTGCTGTTTCCTGGCAGTGACATTTCACTCCCCAGGTGTCCTGGCTTCAAAGGCACTGGTGGGAAGGAAGAAAGGGACAGCCTAGACCCTAGGAGTCCAGGGGGCTGGGCTATTATTAGTGGATGGGGGGAGCTGCATTGCTCCCTGGGCACTAACCAGAACCAGACCCTGACAGAGAGAGGAACACTCTTCTTTGGAGAGGTGAGGAGCATAGGATTTAGGATAGGAAGGTTAAAAAATTATTTAGTCCAAAAAAAATTTATTTAGTCCAGTATTTTTATTTTACAAACAAAGAAACTGAGGCCCAGAGAAGGAAAGAGATTTGAAGAGTTGAGCCTTGAATCTGGATCCTGAGTCCACATTCAATGCTTGCCTAGCCTTTCTTGCCTTCCAGGAAAATGATCCATTTCTCCTCAGTCTTCGGCCTGGGCCAGCCAGGGCATTTCAGGAGGAAAAAAGGAGATGAAGGAAGCAGGCTTGGGAACCATACTATTTAAAGCTAGGAAAGGTTGCAGAGATCTTCTCATTTCTCAGATGAGAAAACTGAGGCGGGGGCAGGGTGGGATAACTTGTCCTAGGTTTCGGTCACACAACTAAATGGCAGGACAAGGCTATGAGCCCAAACAGGTCCGGGAGTGACTCGGGAAGGGACTGGGGTGTGGGGGCTGACAGCTGATGTCTCTTGCTGCAAGGAGCCAGGGGAGCTTGATCGCATTCAGGCAGCTCCAAGTCCCTCTCAACAACACGGCAGATGTCCAGCAAGATGTCAAGTGGCAGTGACATAGGCCAAGCACGCTGGGCAGTGGAGCAGCTGCGGATGGAGGCCGGCATTGACCGTGTCCAGGTGAGGGCTTGAGACTGGGAGAGGATGGGCTGGGAGTAGGGATGGGCCTGGGTCCCTGAGGACTAGCTAGGCCCTGATCTGGCCCTAGGTATCCAAGGCAGCAGGGGAGCTCTTGCAGTACTGTGTGGAACATGCCAAGAGTGACCCATTCCTCATGGGCATCCCAGCTGCTGTCAACCCCTTCAAGGAGAAAAAGCCATGCACCATCCTGTGACCCCCCCTCTCAAGGAACACCTGTGTCTTTAGACACCCCTACTCTTGGATTCCTTCCTTCAAATTCCTCATTCAATACCCCTATCAACAGACTCTGCACCTTCCTGTCCTAAGGTGCCCTGGCACCAGGTCCCCATGGCTTGAGATATACCCCACCCCTAGCACCTCACTGCCCAATATCCCTGAATCCTGAGACATTGCCATCCTGTGCCCCACCTCAAAACCCCTTGATCTCCTCTCCCATCCCTTCAATTCCAGAGGGTCTGAGAACCCCAGGAAAATACGAGTCAGGTCTTATTAAAGTCCTCAGCTCTGTGGGTGACTCTGAGTTCATATCTGGGAAATAGAACCAAGAACTGCTGTTCTCCCAAGGACCTGGGTGTCCATACATGCATCTCACAGCCACCCACTGCATGGTCTCTCCCTCAGTCTCCGACAAAAATGCTTCTCCTGTCACAGTCCCAATGCTGCCATCCAGTAGGCTGTGATTGAATGTCCATGGTCACAAACACTGTCTCAGTTGCAAAGTCAGACGGGACAGCCCCAGGCGCAAGTCACACACAGACACACCATCTCCATGCACGTGAAGGCACAAAGGCACCACATCACAGGCGGAGGCCCGGCAGTACACAGGTCACAGCAGCGGGGAATCATCCAATGGGTTTATTCCTGAGCTTTGGCCTCAACAGCAGGAGAAAGGGGTATTCCAATAATAAATAACAGGGAAGTGGGGGGGAAGGGAGGGAATGAGGCCAAGCCTTCACTGGAAGGACCCTCAACACTCTTCTGGCCCTGGGTGATGGGGTTTATCCCCCATCAGGAGCTATGAGCTTGAATGGTGGCAGCAATATGATCCCAGCCACTACAGAAAATGGCCAGGGGCTCTGCTAGCACCACAGAACCAGGTCTCAGACCTGGAAGGTTGGGACGGGCCCCAATAACAGGGCTTGGGGCCGTGACGGGGGAAGTGTGGGCAGCAGCACAGGTCCAAAGATGCCTCAGCCAGACCCAGTCCTCTGGGCCCCCCTACTTCAGGGCGTCAATCGCCACACCTCCAAGGACAGGCCCCCGGATGCAGCCACCACCACATTGCCATCCGCACAGACCTGGCAGGGGGAAATCAGGAAGAGAAACCTCACTGAAGTGCAGGGGGGAGGGGCTGTAGCAAAGAGAGCCTGGGAAGAGGGACCTTACCCCATTAAGAACATTGTGGTGGCTTCGGGTACAGATGGTCCGTGGTGGGTCAGTGGGCACATGTACCTGGGGAGGAGAAACGAGGCTCAGGGTCTGGAGGCGAGGGTCTGCAGTTCAATTTGGGGATCCTGGCCAACTGGTGCTTACCCGAATGGTCTTGTCCGTGGATGTGGTATAAAGTGACCCCAAGGAATGTTCAATGCCAGTGATTTGTGACCTATGCCCCACATCGAAGGACTACAGGGAAGAGACACAAGGGATGGGACATGCAGGGTTTTTATCACCCAACACCAGGCCCTGCTCTCCTCACACCCTCTTAACCCTGTTCCCAACTAAGTTCATATTCCCAGAGCAGCTGCTGATCCAGGGCTCTTCTGCCCATCCCCTTTCCCAACTCTTAGAATGAAAAACAAAAACAAAAAAGCAGGCTTAGGGATCACCCAGCCCAAACCTTTCATTTAACAGAGGAAGACACTGAAACCTTGGGAGATTATTTGCCATGGTTCTCCCTCCTACCCCAATGCCAGAAGAGAAATGGGCAAGGGAAGAGGTTGAGCCAAGGTGAGTGGAACTGAGAAATACCACACCCTGACATGCTTGAACTGGCCTCCGTGGTTCTCGAACACATAGAGCAGGCCCTGGTTGTCCCCAGCCCAGAGCTGGGGCTCTCGGTAAGACATGCACAGTAGGTATGACTCCAGCTGGTGGCAAGAAGAAGGCAGCTCAGAGGAGAAAAGATCAGGCCCTGCCCTCCACCCCGCCCCAAGGGCCGCTCAGAGGCTGAGCACCACCCCTTCCCCCTAGATCCCCCCATCAAGGATGGAGTTGTGGAGCCAGTCCCCACCCCGACCCTCCCGTCCTGGCCCTGCTGGGTCCCGGCACCTGCAGCCGTTGGAGGACGCTGTTGGTCCGCCGCTCAAACACCACCAAGGTTCGGTCCTCACTCCCCGAGATGATGTACTGGTCATCCGCCAACAAGGCCAGCACAGCGCTTGAATGCAGCCTTCGGCTCTTCACCAGGGCCTGGCCCGCTGCGCCAGGGGTGAGTCGGGCATTACAACAGCTGGTCACTTTCTGCCCTCCCAAGGGCTCCAGGTCCAGGCCAGGTGGATTCTTGGGAAGGCCCCCCTTCTGAGGCTTGATCCCTGGCTGTGACAATACTATCAGCCACCCCCAGCTAGTACAAGGAGCTCCTTGCTCTCAACCCTGGAAGTGTCTTCTCTGGCCAGACAAAGCCCTCTTCTACACTCCCCTGGGGACCCCGCTTTCCCCATCTCCGCCCAGGATTCTGGGCACCCACCTCGGGGGTCGTAAACAGTAACTTTCTTATCATAGGTGCCAGTGACCAGGATGTCAGGACGGTAGGAGAGACAGAGCACTGCAGCCTTGCCCCTAGGGAGACAGGAATGGGGCTCGGGGAAGGGAAGTTGGGCCCTCTGGGCCTCACACTTCTCCATCCCCACATGGCCTGAACTTTATCACTCCCTCCCCTATGCCCACCACATACCTGATCTCCCCAAACTGCTGCCCATCAGCTTCCATGTCCCAGAGTTTCACAGTGCTATCCCAGGAGCCCGAGCAGACGCGGTTATCCTGGGCAGCCAGGGACCAGACCCAGCCCTGGAGAATTGGGGGAAATCAGGGCATGGAGTCCCGTTCGGGAGGCATAGGCATGAGCCAGCAGAAGGATCACCCCAGAGCCTGGCTCCCGATCTCTCACCTTGTGGGTCCCGCTCCGCTGGGTACCCAGGGCCTTGACCAGAACCTTGCCTGGATCTACTCCAAGCTGTCTTAAGTCCCATAAGTTGACATTTCGGTCCCGAGAGCCAGAGACACAGAGTGCCCCACCCTGAAGGAGGACACAGGTGGGGTGCCAGGGCCATAAAAAGCATAAAATACAGCCCCAGGACAGGACTTAAGAGCTAGATGTGACCTTTGAGATATCTGATCTAACCCCATCACAATACAGATGAGGAAACTGAAGCCCAGAAAATTTAAGCTCTATGCCCAAGGTCACAAATTAAGTTCTTCAAGTCCAGAGATCTTTCCACTATGCTTAGACTTGGAGTTCAAATCCTGGCTCTGGTAATCGGTAATAACCAGCTCACTGGGTATGAACACTGACGTTCATCATAGGGTGTTAAAGTAAACCAAGGGCTTTTTTTTTTTTAAGAAAATGGCACTTGAGCTATGACTTGAAGGGAGCTAAGGTGAGGAATATGTACAGTAAAGGTCTAATTCCAAGTTGGAGGAAAAGCAAACAGGCTAGTTGGGAAGGAATGCAGAAGGAGGAAGAATGAGAGATACAGTAAATCTCAAGAGACAGATATTGTGACACGCTCTAAATGAATGCTCTTTAAACAGCATTTTCATCTATAAAAGCTTCTCAAGCAGTAGAGCGACATGGATGAATGGGATGAGGAGGACAGTGGAGGCAAGGAGGTGAATTGTAACCATCAGAGCAGATGAGGGCCTGGGACTTGGATCTGAGAGATGTTGTGGAAGTAGAAGCAATTAGACTTGGTAGCTAACAGGATATGGAGGTAATGGAGAGAGAAGACTTCAAGATGCTGGTGCCCTTGGCAGAAACAGTAAGCTAGGAAGAAGGGTGGGTTTAGACAAAAGAAAGGAGGAGTTCAGTTTTGGACATGTATCATTTGACAGGTGGAGATGTCCAACAGGTGATATGAGAAGTGGAGCTCAAAAAGTAATTAAACTCTAGTTGTATGACCCTGGGTAAGTCACTGAACCCTGAATGCCTCCAAAAAAAATTGTTAAATTTTTGAGCTTCAGTTTTTTCACCTTTCAAATATAGAAATTTCTCATCTATCACTTCTCTCTCTCTCTCCCTCAGAGGTTATGCTTTTCAAACCTACAAAGTTATAGAAATCGGATCTGTGACCATAGCTAAGGTCTCCTGCAGCTCTAAATCCTCCACTTCAAATCCAGATTGCTTCCAACCTCCCCACCCAGAAGACTTGCCTTGTCCTCACCTGCAGCAGGAGCACAGAGTCGATGGACGCAAAGTGGCCGTCAGACAAGCAGAAGTATTCGGCCCGTCGCCCATCGTCTGCCCAGCGGCCCAAGTGCTCCTCCAATTCGATGCAAGCAGCTGGCCAGTCAAAGTCCTCCTCTGGGGGTGGGGGGTAGTGAGGTCTGAACCCTGCCCCACCCACGAAGCCTGTCTCCTCTCTAGCCTCCTCCCCAGCACAGCCTCACTACCTGATTCAGCCCCTTGCTTCCAGACACGTGGCCCAGGAAAACAACTCGGCACCCCCGAAGGCCCCGAGTCCCTCCCCCGGTCCCCGCACCTTCCACCACGGGGTAGGCCCCCCCCAGGAGCTTCTGCACGCGGATCTTCCACATAACCTGGTCTTGGACGATGTCTCTGAGGGTCCGACACACCAGGGGCAGGACCCCCAGCACCAGCCTCGCCTCCAGGTAGGAGCAGATCTCCAGGATCAGCTCCAGCGGCAGACCCAGCAGCCCGGACGCGGCCGGGCCGGGCTCCGCCCCGGGGGACCACCTGGACTCACGCCACAACTCCGCGGGGGCTGGCCTAGGGCTGACCGTGGGCGGGGGAGCCAGGACCGTGCGGGCCAGGGCCGGGCCGGGCGAGCCCAGAACCCGTTCGATGTACTCCTGGGCTTGGGCATCCGGGTCCGTCTCAGGGTCCGAGTCCTCATCCCAGCCCTGGGAGTCGTCTGGGGGTAGCTCCATGCTGGGGGATACCCTGGGGAACCAAGTTGGGAAGGGGAGGCACCCTGAGAGCATACGATCACAGGGTAAGGGCTGGAAGGGCCCTCGCGGGCCCTCACTTTATGGAGGAAGACACCGAGGCTCAGACGAGGGAAGTGACTCGCCCAGTGTCACACGAGCAGTATAATGACAAAGGCAGGTCTCGAATCCAGCTCCTCTCGTTCCAATCCAGGGCTCTTCCCACCGCACCACACTGCGCTACACGGGGCCTGGTCGTGAAGGGGCCCGGGGTATGGGGGTGAGAAGCGAGCGCGGGCAGATGGGCCTGCCCTGGAGCCGCCCCACCTCCCACCTGTCACCCGCTCGGGCGCCGACGCCCCAGCTACAAATATTTCGTCTCCAAGGCACCAAGCCGTTACTTCCGGCGTCGACTGATGACGCAGCACAAAAGTAGCCGGCCCGTCCACGAGCCGGAAGTAGAGGAGACGTTCGCTTCCGCTACCTCTGGGCGGGGCTGCTCGGGCTGGGGGAGCGAGGATTGCTAGCAGGCTCCCCGGTAATCCCTGGCCCCCACCCCACCAGACGTCGGCCCGTTCATCATCCCGGGAAGGAGCAGACACAAAGGCGGAGGCCAAAAAAACTTGAGTCACAAGAAACTGGTTTTTAGTCAACAAAAAATTATACATAAAATGAGAAAAATCTCATTGGAGCAAAGGTGCAAGCAGTTGCTTCAACACTAATCCACAGCAGTTTTACCATAGGAAACATTACAGCACATTTACAAATGTACAAATCGAGGATTCAACAGACAGGAGGCTAAAAACTAGAGTCAGCACCGTCACCCAGGCCAAGCGAACTCCCGAAATCAGAAACTAACTCAAACAGAGGCAGAGGCAGTTGGATCATGGAGCTTTACCTTCATTGTGCAAAAACCCGAAAATTTTAAATAAAACAAACTAAAAAATTAAATAATCTGGAAAAAAAAAAACCTTGTTCCTCCGTTCCCCTTCTCTGGGCCCCGCGGAGGCTAAACCTGGACCTCTCATCCTGAGCTGAGCAAAGGCATAGCCCGGACTGCTACAAGGTTATGCCTCCAGCACCCCAGGGGAAAAGGTTCTCCAAATAACCAGAATTTTTAAAATAAAATTAACAAAAAATAAAAAAAAAAACATTTGTAAACGGCTCCCAGAGACCTGCTCGAGTTTTTACGCGATTTAAAAAAAATTAAATTAAAAAGCTGAGCTGAGGAATGTGCGTGACAACACGCTTGAAATGGTAAGTGAGGGATGGAAGAAATGGAAGGGACAGACAGGCCCTGACTCAAAGCTACAGGGTTCCCCATCCTGAGGTGGAAGGAAGGCAGAAGTTACAGGGCATCAACCAAGAAAGGGAAAAAAGGGAGATCTTAGCCCCTAGGGAAGGGCTGACAAGACACCAAAATCCAAGAACAGAGGAGACAAGAGGGAGCAGAAAGCTGCTGGAGGGGGAATGCTTCCCAGTTAAGTTTGCTTCCATCAAAGCCCATTAGTAAAACACTGGGGACACAACACAATCCCTCCTCACCATAATTCCCCTTAAACCCCTTTCACCCATCCCCATCTGGAGTCCTCCAAGATCCTGACAGTCCTCAGGCTCAGGAAAATCACCACACCTGGATTGCTTAGGTCCAGGCCAGGCAGCATTTAGTAAAGTTCCTGTCCTATGTAATTCTACCTCAAGTAACCACTTCTCCCTTCTGGGCTCTTGGTGAGGACTGAGGGAATGAATAAGTGGAAGTGCAGTCCATTTCACTTTCCCCTTAGTCAGATTCATCAGGCTCTGAGATTCCTGCTGCTACCACTTGGCTGACTTAATTCCCAGCAAACAAAATCATCCAGAAGAAAGCCTTTCTTGGCTACTGCCAAAGCTGGTTCCAGCCATTGTCCCAGGACCAAAAATGATAAATAAAATGAGACAAGAAAAGGATGGCCAAGAGGCCATAACAGGACAGAAAAGGAAACAGGAAGGAACCCCTAAGGCAGTCCTATCAAAATTTCTAGGAGAGAAAAGAATAGATACTAAAGTTGTATTCAGTTATGCTCAGATATCTTAGGGCTCATCCACATATGGGGAACCAACAGTGGTAGAGAAGCAAACAGTCCTCCTCCCAGTGGGAAGATTGCTGAGCAGCCTCAGGACAGAGGCTGGGAGACAGTGGACCCAGGTCGGAAGGGCTCACCAAATGCTCCAACCCCCCTCCCAGCTGCTACCTCCTCCCCCCTTGACCCCTCCCATGGGTTTGAAAGGGAAAGGTGAAGTAAACGCAGCAGCAGCAGCAGCAGCAGCAGCAGCAGCAGCAGCAGCACGAGATACAGGTGCACAACCAGTGAGAGGAGAATTCGCTGAGCAGTGGCTTTGGAAGCATGCGTCTCTACAGTGCTGACCAGCATAGCAGGGCCCAGGGCCCAGGAAATGGCTCCCCTCCTGGATGAATGGCTGGGCTACACAGCCCAGAGGAGGCTCTGTACCTTCTTTTTCTCCCTCCCCACCCTTGGCCCCAAGGCCCTGGGCTCTCGCCAGCTGGGACCCTCTGTCATGGCCTTCTTCAGACCATTGCACAGCACCTATTACAGAAGCATCTTAAACTCTAGATGAAGGTTACATTAAGTCATTATGGCCTAACTCACAGGATTCGCTACTCTAAATGTCACCATGCAGTCAGGGAAAAAGGTGGGAGAAACAGGCAAAGCCCCCTCCCACCAATCTGGATGCACCATAATCCCCACAGCGACACCCCCCACCCCGCCAGACTGATGGGCAGTACCAGAATAGTGGCTGCTTGTTCTATTTTTCCTTTCATTTTTAAACGCTTTTTAACCCTACTCTGTGCGCACTCGAGAGACCATCTGTGTCAGTGTCTCTCAGATCACGAGAATAATTCCCTTTCCCCGTTTGTTTCCCCTTCTTCCTCCTCCTCCTCCTCCTCCAAAACAAGATCCTGTTGCAGCGAGTCCTCCCCCCACCCACCGCCCCCCGTGTGGCTGGCACTGCTCAGGCTTCTGCCAGAGATGAAAGCCCCTGGTTTGTAGAATGAGCGTGGAGGCCCCCCACCCCCCACCCCCGCGATGGCAGGAAGACGGGAAGTCATTTAGTTTTGTGTCCCACGTACTCCTCCCTAACCCCCCACTGACAGGGCACTGCAACACCTGGATGCTGATGAGCTCCCAGCAACCCCTCCCAACACCGTCAGGAACCTGGAATAGGAGCAGAGGGGGGGGCGGGAATCAGCAGCAGGGCTCCCCGCCCCGCCCCAGACCCTAGCTGCCTTCAGGACCACCCTCCCAACCAGTCCCAGAGGCTGGGTACTCACCTAGTGCGTGGTCTCCCTGCTTCACCTAGACGCCATAGAAGGCAGCTAATCTCTCCTTGAGCAGGGGTGGGAACTGCTCTGAAAACTGCTGCCAGTTCTCTTCCCCTACCTGGTCTTTGAAGCCATGGAGTATCTGAGGGAAGGAAAGGAGGGACATAGCAGAGGTGCCACGGCCTGAGGCAGAGGGGAGACAGGAGCCCCAGGACTCACCTTATAAAACATGTCCCGCAGGTCATCCTTAGGGCTCACCCAGGAGGCCACAGCGTCACAGAAGAAAATAAAATCCTGAAAACGAAGACCCCACCCACTCCGGCTGTGAGGGGCTGCCAGCACCCCCAACGTCCTGGTCCCAAGGAGGAAAGCCTCTTCCCCTCCCATTCCCCAGCCCCTCTACCTGCACAACCCCTCCAGGGTTCACCCCAATCATCATGCAGATGCCCCGAAAGGCCGAGTCCTTCTCCTCGTTGTCTCGGATGTTCCTGAGAGATGTGCACCTGCAGCAGGGCAGCGGGAGGGTGGGCTCGGCAGGCAGCTCAGAGAGCACCGGCCCCGTCAGGAAGACAAATCGTAGGAGGGACACAGGAGGAGAGACGGGGCAGAACGGAAGGCTGACATGCACTTTGGGACAGGATCAGGGCCTGGGGGAGAGGGGGGAAGGGGAGGGAAGCACACACACCCACCAGGGCCTGATGAATTGCTGGAGCATGGGCGCCACCTCCTGAGGGCACACGTAGCCCAGGCGGCCGATGGTGATGGCTGGAATGGCAGAGGGACTCGTCAGGCGACCTGAAACCCCGAGTGGCCCCGGGACTGTACGTGGCAGGGCCTCTGGGTGGGGGCACTGACCCCCGCCCCGGCCCCAGCCCCCCGCAGACTCACTCGAGGGGAGCCAGTGGGGGGACAAAAGATGCCTGGTTCAACTGTGCCAGGCTTCAGGCCCCAGTGGGGGGCTCAGTCCCTTGACCCCTATTTGGGGAAGGAGGCTGGACTGGGCCAGTGGCCCAGAGACTCGGGCTATTTCCTGTGCGTTTCTCTCTTCCCCAGATCATGGGGAGAGGAGGACTGGGGGCCTGGCCCCAGCTAGTTTAGCACAGTGGTATAAGGGCATAAGTGGCTCCAAGGTTCAGGGGAAAGAAAGGGAGACCCCCACTGGGGGGGAAACTGGCTCCCCATGTTGATGGTGGGGAAAAGACTGCCCAGGTTGGGCCTGGGCTCCCACCTGTGTTCTCCAACAGGGTCTTGGGGGTGTTGGGGCGGTTGATGATTTCCACCAGATTGTTGAGGACCATCTGCACATAGGGCTGCATCTCGGCCCCTGGGAGGTATGGAGGGAGGGGGAGTGATTAGGGCCGCAATTAGTCAGTGACTTCCCGCCTCCTCTTCTACCCCAAACATTTTGTGGGACCCTAGGTACTCACCCATCTGCATGCAGATCTCCCCAATGGCCCAGGTGGCATTGTTGCAGACGGAGATGAACTCAGGATTTAGGTTAGTGCCCAAGATTGGCATGAACTCAGCTGAGGAGAGAAGTTAGGAGTGAGACACTGCTACAGAAGAAGAAGTACAGAGAAGGGGAGAATATAGCCAGAGCTCCGGGCCCAACTTTGAGGACTGAAACCTAACGCTGTCCCTGCCCCAGGCATTCTTTGGACTAGACAGAATGTCTGCAAACAAGATCGATGGCACCCCCGCAATGATTTTTCTCCAACACCTCCTAGGAGAGTGGCAGAGCTGGAGTATGGACTATAAGGTGAGGGGGCAGCAGATCCTTAGCAAATACCGATGCAGGGCTTGACATGCATGAAGCAAGCTTTGGTAAGGTCTCCCAGGAGAGCAAAGGAGCTCTGACGGACTTCTGGCATGGTGTCCTGGGGAAAGGGGGAAACAGCCAAAGTCAGTGTCCAAGGAGGTGGGCACAACCGTCTCTCCAGCTAAACGGCTAGCTTCACTGATGTCCATGACTTTACTTCTGCCTTTTCCTCCAAAACAGTACTTCCCCATCTTCTTCCTTAAGAAAATCCTATGCACTCTCAAGACCCAACTCAAAGCAGCCACAAGGCATCCCTCTCATCACCCCTGCTGGAAGTCGTCTCTCCTTCCTCTGACCTCCCACAAAGCCTGATGTTTATGTCACTCTACCAGCTACACACCTGGCTTTGTACTGTGGTTCTATTTGTAACTTATCTTCCTTATCTCCTCAAAAGACACTAAACTTGGGGGGAGGGACTGAGTCTTATTCCTGTTCATACCTCAGCTGCTGGTTCAAGATGCCACACTCTAAAAACATCCCTGTTTGCTAAGTGAACAACTGAAGGGAGGACAACTCACCTGCATACACTGGAAAAGCAGAGTCATTATGTTGCTTCGAGCAACCAGCTGTTCCACTTGGCCTCCCAAGCCCTCAGCCAGGCCACTGAGGAGGTCAAGGGCCACAATCATGAAGTCCTTGTCCGGGGCCTCATACTGGTCTGGGTGCTGGTTGTACATCTGTGGAGTGCAGAGCAAAAGTAAGGAGAGACCTACAGAGGGAGGAATGGGCACAAGAGGATCCCAAGGAGCCCGAGACCTACCATAGCCTGGGCCAGCGTCTTCTGGACAAGCGTGACACAGCGCTGATACACAGGCTCACAGTAGGGCAGGAACCCACTCTGGAGGGCTGTGGCCACAGACGACAAGCACTGTGTGGGTAGGAAAGAGGTGGTTAGAGGATGGGCTAACAAAGCCTGGCCACCATGCCATGATGTCCCATGTTACACACCAGGTGTATAATACCTTTGGAGACACTCAAAGGTCTGGCTTTGGGGACAAGGAATGGACAAAACGAACTCAAACCATTCTTCCTCTGAGAATGGAGGAACTAGGGTAACAATCAACCACACACCTCTCCCCACTCACTTCCAATAATGGGAAGAGGTCCTTGTCTTCATCCTTCAATTCATTCCATTTCTGGATCAGAGGGGGCATTAGCTTTTGGATGTATTCCTAATGAGGACAGAAAAATAAAAGAGTACTGAAGGAGAAGAGAGAGTAAAGAAAGAAACTTTCAAGAGTTCCCAGGCACTTAACACTTACGGGCTGGTTGAGGTGGTGGCCCACAGAGTCAGCGAGTGTCCCAATGGCATCATAGAGGATCAAGAGGTTCTTGTGCTGGTACTTGCCAAAGGCGAACACAAGAGTGTCCAGGATGAAGCTCAGGTAAGGGACCAGCTCTGTGCAGGCCTCCTCCTCCAGGGTAGCAAAGGCACTGTGGGAAGCGTTTGGGCATCAGGTTAAGGGCAAGCTCAGGTAGCCAGGATGCCCAAGGGAAGAGGACTGGCATGCCCAGGATCAGTCAGTATGAATACAACAGAGATCAGTTTGACATCAAACAGTAACTTGTTCATCATATCCAGGGAAGACGGTAACCCAAGTTTAAAGGCTATTCCCACCAAGCTCCTAAGACCACCCTTGCTAGGTGCTCAGTGTCTAGGTGCCAGGGCAGGTAGCACAGGCTTGGAAAGGGATTCATGGTGGCATCACCTGCAGGCTGCCTCCTGCACACGCTTGTTGCCATCCAGGATTCGCTTCAGCAGTTCGGTCATCAAGGGCTTCAAGTGCATGTCTGGCGGCTGGCTGACCACCCAGTGGGCATAGCGGCTCAGTGTCCAGCAGGCAATGGATCGTACCAAAGCCTTCTTGTCTGACAAGCACTGGATCAGGTGGGGGATGAGCTCAGGCAGGTATGGAACCATACCCTGCATACAGCCTGGAAGAGTGAGGAGGACACATCCTCAGCAGGCACCAATGGCGGGCACATCTAAGCCAGGTACTTCCTACCCTCTGCACTCCCTGACCCACTTTGGCTCTCACCCTCAGCAATGGCTCCTAGGACCAGGATTCCAGACTCCTTGATGACCCACTCAGGGTGAAAAAGCAGCCCCTTCAGCAGAGGCAGCAGGTGAGGAAGCAGCTCCTCCCGGAACACATTGGCCAGGACGTCCAACGCCGCCGCTGAGCACTTCCCTACAACCAGGGAAAGGAGCAGTCACCCCCTACAGCAGGCACCCTACCCTCTCAGGTCCCACAGGATCAGACAAGGTGAATATGATCGTCATCATCTCAGGAACAGGGATGACAACTGCCTCAGGGAAAATGTCCTTGGGCATCAGTCCCTACCCCTTCCCCTCCTCTAACACCAGCCCCAACACACTCAAGTTCCAGTCAGACAAAGTGTCATCATCATCATCATCATCCTCCTCAGGATCCTCGGGGTCCTCGGGCCGCTCCTCCTCATGAGGCAGCGTCACTGTGCGAGACTTGTGGAACCGAGGCTTGATGTCTTGCTCGCTGTCTGGAACGGCCTCATCTTCCTCCACGTCCCCCTGCAGGGAAGGCCCAGCAGGGGTGATGTTGCTGGGTAGACATACCTCCTGCCACCCCCTTCCCCTTTTCAGAGCAAGCCTCCTGGGATCAGACAGTATGAATACATGAAACCTTCAATGAACATTCAGGCTAAGAAGGATGCATCACTTCCCAAGGGCCGAGGGCACCTCCAGCTCACCCCCAAGACCCCTACCTTGAGCAGGATGATGTCTATCTCAGAGTATTTCATCCCATTCACCAAAATTGGAATCAGCCTAGAGAAGAGAAGAATAGCTCGTGGCCAATCTGCCCACAGGTCTATCCACCCATCCCTGGGGGAGAAAGGGAAGAGGGGCGGACAGAAGAAAGGAGGGGAATGATTGGGAAGAGCTTAAGCAGTAGCTCCCTGAGACCTGGATGAAACCTCTCAGTTATGCCAGCTAGGAAATAACTAGAGTCAAAGACGTCAGCAAATCCTTCCCCAGGATTTACATCAAAGTCAATTCTTGTTTCTTAGAATTAAGAGCTTTTAAACAGTTGTTATATTCCTCGCCTAAAACACACAGACACACACATTTGTAATTCTAAGATACCTTAGAATAAAGGTATTAACACGAAGCAAGGCCATTCTAATCCTATAAACTACCAAAGTGTACATTTGTGGGAGATTTTAAATTTTTAAAGTGGTTTAATCTATATTAGGGACAAAACACTGTGGTTCCCAGAGGCTCCTCTTTTCATCATTTACAAAGATTTCAATGGCAAGAAAACCTGGACTAGGAGCCAGGAGCCATATTCTAATTCTAGCCTCACTTCTGCCACCAAGTAGTAAGTTCTATGACCACAGGCAAGTCATTCAATCTGAACGTAGAGAAGTAGCAACAAAAAAGGCCAGGACAGCAGGACCCTCCTGGATGAGGGGCAGGGTGAGGAAGGAGAGGACTTCAGATAGACAGTCAGGACTCACTGCACCAGGTGGGAAGCCAAGACTTCCTTGCAGATGGGTTGTTCAGCTAGCGTCAGCCAGAACTCACAGGCCTCCAAGGCCACATTTTCATCATGGTCCTGAGTCCTTTGCAGCATATACTAGAGAAGAGGAGAGGGGAGAAGAGGATCAGCACACTATGACCTTTGCTGTCCTAGGAAGGCCACCTCCCTCTCCCCAGACCCCTGCGCACCTGAATGATACTATGCATGTGGGGGATGAGCCGATCGATCCGGACTTCCAGCAGCATGACCAGCGCCCGGCATACGTTCTTCCGAACCTCTGGGTCCTCATCCACCGCCAGGGCAAACAGGTGCTAGACATGCCCCCACCCCACCCCAACCCATAAAGTCAACAATTTGAACCCGAAAGCGGCAAAAAGGCCAGGACCCAGGTAGGGTCAGTGTTCCTCCTTCCTAGTACTAGTGTACCTAGTGCATTCCCCAACTCTTTCACCATCCAACCATGAGCCTGTCAGTCACTAACTACAAAATGCCTACCTCAATGAAGGTGTCAATGTTATCCATCAGCGCCTGGGCCCGGTCCATAATGAACTGATTTACACAAGCAATGGCATGGGACCTGGAGAAACAGAACAAGAATGGAGGCCAAGATTAGCTTAAGGAACAGGACAGGGCAAGAGGGGACTAGCAATCCAGTCCATTCATGCCAATTAATAGCTCTGCTCTAGCAGGTGCCCTCTGCTAAGCCTGACAGTCCTGAAGCAGGGAGGATATGCCTACAACTTCTCCATGCCCTCCCTCCTCCCCAGCCTGGATTTCCTGGACTCCAGTGCTCAATCTCAGGAAGAGCCTCACATACCGGATCTTCGGGCTACAGTGCTTGAAAAACTGCAAGAACTTGGGGATCATAACGTTCAAGGGACGATTGAGCGCATCGCTGTCCAAGAGTTCTGACGAGTCTTCACAGATCTTCTGTAAGGCTCCAAAGGCCCCCTATGTGGTATGTGAGAAGGGAACTGTGGAATATCAAAGGGATAGGAGAAGTGCACACAATCCTCTCCCCACAAAGAAAAGAAGGTATAGCAACCTGAAAAGTGTCTAGTCCTATACGCAGCCTAAATGGGCCTGATATCCCCTGCATAGCTCCCTCCTGAGGAGCTGGGACAGGCAGCATATTCTAATTTATGCCTATGGTGGCTGCATATGGTGGCTACCTCACATGTGTTGTAGTCCTCAGAATTGAGCAGGTTACACAGCTGGGGCAGCAGTTCTGGCCACATCTGGAGCTCTCCCTTGGAGGCAATGGTGGTGATGAGGATACCTAATGTGAAGAAGGGAAAACCAAAAATCCACGAAGCTATGAACTGGCTTCCTGGTGTCTGCCTTGAGGTAGGGCATGCAAGGAAAGAGATGGAGGGAGATAAAGCCTTACTGAGACAGTATCCTCACCCAATCCAGCTCCCCTCACCCCACCTTACCAATAGTGGCTCGGATGAGTGAGGAGGCATCACCAATATTGTTGAGACACTCTTGCTTGATAAAGTCAGCCACTGGTGGGGGAAAGCTCTGGTAATGTGCCTTCACATTGTTCTTCAGAATGAGGCCACTGAGGGAGCGTGTTGGTTCATCTGGGGAAAGGGATTGAGGAAAACACTGGAGCAGAAATTATAATAGGCTCACTTCCTGCCAGCCAGAATTATCCCCCAGGCCATGGGGAACGGCAGGATCCAGGGCTACACTGAAGAGCCAGAGAGATCAAGTCGGCCCACTCTACCTGTCAGTGACCTGTAAGCTTGCTGTATCGGTAAGGGAGAAAGGGCTCCAATCTACCTTTCCAGGTACATTTCTTATTACTGGCCCTCACACATGCAAATGCTTTGCATTCCAGTCAAACTGTACTGTAAGCAGAACAATGTTGTGCTGATCCTTTGCACCTTCACATTCACACAGGCTATCCCCCTAGAGCTCAAACGAACTGCCTGCTCATCTCCATCTCTCAATGAAGCCTCCCCTGATTCTGTTTCCTCAGGACCTCCCCCACCTCCCTAGATTTCACTGTCTGCAGATCACACTGTATGTCACATCTTACTTGCTCATGTATGACTTCTATCACATTGATATTCCTCAAGTACAGGAATTTTCCATTTTTCATCACTGCATCTTCAGTGAAGTGACTTAACCAGAACAGGTGCCTCATAAATGTCTGCTGATTTGGATCTGCTGAACTCAAGAAGATGGGGCTGCAAGACCCCTTAACCCTTAGGCCGGACACAAGAGAGGCAGGGGCAGGGGAAAGTAGCCTAGGGCCAATCAGACTTACCTTCTGACTTCAATCGTGTCAGGACAAAGATCAGGTAGTTGTTAAAGTCAGGAAATTGGTTTAGTTGCTTCAGTTTCTGTAGGGCAACATTAAGGACTAAGCCAATTCAGTACTGACCCTTCTAGACAACACAGGTGAGGAGTTAGGTATGAAAAAGGGAGGAAATTAAGACTCCTGGGACACTCAGTACTTCCTAACATCTTCTATCTTAACAAATCCCATCCATCCTTAATGGTCATCATCCTACTATATGCACAACCCCCAAACAAGCTTTATTAGCCCCCCACCAATGGGGAAAGATGGAGTATTTACTAACTGGCCTAAATTCCACTCTTTATCCTTCTCTGTAGATAAGAATCTCACACGAATGCCTGGCGAGGATTTAGCTCAGTGGTACAGCACATGTTCAACCCCTGGTATCTCCAGAGCTCTTTTAGAGGCAGTGTGGCAGAGTGGATAAAATACCATACTTGGGTGTCTTGGGTTCAAATAACACCTCAGGCTAAAATTTGTGATCTTGTCCAAGTCATTTACCTTCTCTGGGCCTCAGTTTTCTCATTTGTAGAAGGAGAGAGTTAGATTTGATGACCACTAAGCCTCTTTCCAGTTCTCAAGCTATGATCTCATGGTGTTTCCTTCCAACTAGATCAGAGGAGCTAGAGTTGGAAGGGCCCTCAGATATCATCTAAGTGCAACCTCTTGATTTTACAGAGGAAGAAACCAAGACTCAGTGAGAAGTGACTAGTAGAGAAAATAAATAGTGGAATCAAGTGTTGCAGAGAAGACCTTTGATAAAATTCTAGCAGTCTTCCTATTACATCAGGGGTTCTCTCACCCACCCCCTCCCATGCCAGAGTGCTGGCTGGGGACAGTAGTAAACTGTAGGTACTTTTTAATGCTTAAGGATGAATTAGGGGAAAGAATATACAATATGCCTACACCATGTGATATAATTGTTAACAGGCCTGGGAAACCTAACCTACTCCCAGCCTATGGTTCCTGCGGGGGGGGGGGGGGGGGGGGGGGGAAGGCACCAAGGAGGCACAGCCCTAAGTCCCTCCACTCTCTCTTTCTATTAAGACAATCAACAGCAGCAGAGAGGTCAGCCAGCCAAAGGATACGTCCTGGACAACCCGCTGAGTGGCCGTGTTGGGGGACTGGGAATCCTTGAGGAGCTGGAGGACCTGCTGGAGGCCCTGTTCATCTGGCTGCCAGTCCATGGTGGGGGGTTAGTCTAAATTGCGGTACGGAAGGGAAAAGAAGGCAGATTAGATTCTTCTGGGCAGTTCCTGGTCACACAAGTGGACATCAGGGCTGCACCCCGCCCCCCCCCCGCCCCAGAAGGGAGGGATGAGGAGGCAGAAAAGCCCCCGGGGCCACGTGGGGAAATGGGGGAGCAACAGCAAACCCAAGAGCTTTTAGTGATTACCCCCCACACCCCGTTTCCAGCTGGGGACCCCGAAGCGCCGGATCCTGGGAGGAAGGGGAGGACCGGGGCCCCTCCTGGGCCGGGCTGGGCTGAGTTAAAGAAGAGAAGGCGTGGGGGGAGGGGAGGTGCCGGGAGGTGGGTGCACGCCGGGCTGAGGCCTCGGCCCTCCTCGGCCCCATCGGGCCCGGGCCGCCGCCGCCGCGCCCAATCACCCCCTCGCTGCTTGCCCTGCTCTCTCTCCGGCCCAGGGCCCTCGAACAGGCCTGGCCGCTCCCCGAGGCCCAGCCCGGCCCCGGCGCTCCTGATCCCTCCCCGCAGGCCGCGGCCGGCAGCTCCGACCAGGGCTCAGGCCGAGCCACTCACCGGGACCCGAGGGTGACCGGGGCGGCGGAGAAGACGGCGACAGACGCGGCGGCGACGGCGGCGGCGGCGGCGGCGGCGACTCCTCGCTCTGCGGCTTCTCCCGAGACACACACGGGGAGGAGCGAGGAAGCGAATAAAAAAAAACGCGACTTGGCCTGAGCCGCAGCGGCTTCCGTCCGCCGTTCAAACTGTCTCCCCCCAGCCAATCAAGAAGCTGGGCGGGCCCTGTGACTAGAGAGGAGGGAGGAAGACGAAGGGGAGGCCTGCGGTGGTGGGAGAAGGAAAGGCGGAGCACGTCCTCGAGTGTGTCACGTGATCGGCGACCGCGACTAAGCAAACCAGAAGGATTCTGTCACGTGATGGGGAGACCGCTACTTTTTGGGTCTCTCTGGCCTTTGGGTCCTCCAGTCTCTCGTTTACTTCTCTCCGCTGGCACCAGGGACGACCCCTGGGTCCTGTGAGGAGTGCAGGAGTCCCCTATCACCATCCTCAAGTGAACGCATCTGGCTCGTTTCCTATCCAGGGCCACCCCTTTTCCATGCTCCATTTCCCCCCACCCTTCCTGAGGTCCAGTTCTGCCACTACCGCTTTATGACTTTGGACCAATCAATTAATCTCGCTGGGTTTCAGGTCCTTCACGCGAAGAATGAGGAGGGCTGAACTGGATCACCTCTAAGGCCTCTCTTCCAGCTCTGACCTTATTATCCTATAAGTGCAATGTAGAATGCTGGTCTAGGAGATGGGACACTGTATACTATATTCCCTCCTGTTCCAGACTGGCTTTCCAAATTCCCTGATTTGGTTTGTTTCCTTCTCGATAAAATGGAGGAAGTGATTAAAGATCCCTTCCAACTCACAGTTCTGTGATTCTAGGATTGATATACACACTAACAGCCTAACCTACTTTTGCCCCTTACCTTCCTCAAGCCTCCCTGATTCTTGTCCTTTGTCCCTTCCTGCATCCCTCCCCACACTGTTTCTGCTGCCAACTTCCTAAAACCTCAGGCCAGACAGGTGTATGAGAAGGTCGTTGGCATTTTGTTTGTTCTGTGTCCTCACCCTGGGGTGGAGATGTAATTTATTGGTCCTTTCCCACCCCACCCTCCCATCATTGCCATCCATCAAGTGTCTGAAACATTCCAGTATTTAAGAAATAGGAGAGCAGGAACATGGGGACAAAGAACAGAAAGCCCTGAGGGAGAATAAAGTAGCCATTGTAATTGAGGAGATCAGCCAAAGTGGAGGAGAAAATTAGGGTGGTTAGATTGAGGAAGATGGGTGTGTGTGTGTGAGAGAGAATTAAAGGAAGCAATCCACACTATGAATTAGGATTATGGCCCTCATCCTTGAGTTACAAGAGAGTACAACACAGGAAAGAGCAATTTTATGTCAAAGATCCTGAAATTTAATCCTTGCTCTACTGTGTAACTTTACATAAAGATTTTGTCCCTTGTCTCAGTTTCCTTCTCTCTAAAATAAAGGGAGTTCTAAGTCATGATCCTAGGAACTCCCCGAAGTGGCCAGTCTTTGCAGCTTAGGCCCAAGGGAGGCTCTGCACCTCCCTGAAATCCTCCTGGGTTTACAGAAGGATCCTGAAGGGCAGCCTAGGGTGGGACTAGGGATCAAGGCCCCTGCAATGAAAGGACTGCCATGGTAAGAATGAGGGAGGGAAGCCAGAAGATATTTTTTCTCTCTTTTATCCTACCCAGGTCTCAAGGCCTTTGCCTTCATTCTTTCCGCAAACATTTCTCAAAGCTACACTACCAGGTCTTATTCCCCCTTGCAGGAGGAGACAAGAATGGAAGAATAAGATCAGTCCCAGACTAGGTTACAATCACTTAAGGGAAATAAGAAAGGTCCATGAATAATTGCAACAGAAGGCTGGATGCTGTCCAAACAGGTTACAGTAGGCCCTCCCCCCAGGTCACTTCAGAAGTCACCTTAGGTGTATGGGTCTACAGAGCTTTGGGAACTCAGCACAGGCCAGAAGCAAGAAAACGTGGCTCCTAGCCCTGTCCCTTCACCCCCAAGGAAGCAAGTGGAGACGCCTCACCTGCGCGTGCACAATGCGCATGACAAGCTCCTAGCTCAATTTCACGCTCCTCCCCCGAGCACACCCATAACTACGATTCCCACGATCCTCCGCGCCTCGAGCTGCTGCACTTCCGGCTGGGGCTGTAAACAGCGGAGAGTCCAAGTTGGGCCGACAGCCCAGCGGTGGAGAGGGGGATGGCGGGGTTCGGCCTGTCCGGGGTCCCCGGAGCTGGAACGGACGCCGGGGCCTGGGAGCCTGGAAGGAGGTGCCTCGGCCGCCGCTGAGCGGGCCGGGCCGGGCATGGGGAACTGCCTGTCGTCGGAGCGGTCCGGCACCAGAGCTGGGGACGAGGCGGGGGCTGGAGCCGCGGACGACCTGTCGCTACTCAACGACTCCGGGGACGGGAACAGCTTTCCCGGGGACCCGCCGCCTCTGTCGCCGCAGCCCCCGCCGCCCTGCAGGGTGAGCACCGCGCCGTACGGGCCGGACTGGGAGCCGAGGAGCCGGGGCATTTGCCACCCCCCGCGCCCCAGAGAGTCAGGGAAGGGCTGGGCACAGGAGGACCCCGGGCATCTGCCATCCCCCTAGCACCCCATAGAGGCCGGGCAGGGCTGGGAAGTATCTGCAAGTACCTCCAAGGAGGCTAGGCATTGCTTTAACGAGGGGAATTCTGGCATTTGCCACTACCCACCCACTGCCCCAGAAACAGAGCAGGACTGGGGAACAGGGGCCCTTCACAATCCACCCCCAACCACCTAATTCCCCAGAGAGACAAGGCGAGGTCAGGCAGAGGGGACCTCAGGCATCTCGCCCACCACCGCCAAGAGAGGTAGGGCTGGGCTGGGCACAGGGAAACCCTGGGCATCCACCACCACCACCTCAAGGGTCAGGCCAAACTGGGGACAGGAGGACCCCAGCTGTCCACTTCAGTGACCCTGAGGGTCAGGCTGTGCTGGAGACAGAGGAAACTTTTGGAATCTACTCCTTTCACCCTAAAGAGTGAAGAAAGGATATGGTAGAGCAGAGGGAAAGGGAATAGAACTGGGTTGGTGATTGGGGGGGGGGACCACGGAATTTGCCAAACTAGGCTAGGTCAGGACTGGGGGCAGGAGGACCAACTCTAGGAATCCCAAAACAAAAGAAACACAGAAGCCCTCCTATTGAATAAGATCATTAGGTAGTGGAAACAGCACAGGATTCAGAAAGACCTGTTTCAATTCTGTCTCTGCCAGTTACTAGCCCCATGAACTTGGCCACGTCCCTTCCCCTCTGTTTTCTTCTTTAGAAAATAAGGGGGTCAGGTTAAAGGCCTCTCCAGCTCTAGATCCTATGATGAGACATAGAGACAGTAATGGACTGAGGTAGGACTACGGGCATAAAGGGATTAGGGCTCAGTCCCATTCATGGATTAGAGCACTTGATTTTGTGAGTAATAATTGGATCCCTAGGGAACCAGAGAGGAGGTTCACAGGGTACGTAGCTCATAGATCCCCTTAAAACAGACCTCGAGCTAGACCACTTGAGGCTGATAGGGGGCTAGACGCAGGCAGGTTGAAAGATGAGTTCCCCAGAGACAAATTGCCATGTACATCCTATCCCCATCCCCCCCCAGGGACGGGAGCCAATCCCAGTGTACCACCCATCTCCGAGCCAGAGCCGACTGGCCACACAGCTCACAGAGGAGGAGCAGATCCGCATCGCCCAGAGAATTGGCCTCATCCAGCACCTGCCCAAGGGCATCTTCGACCCTGGCTCTGAGGGGTCCGAAAAGAAAATGAAAGAGTAAGGGTGGGGATCAGGATGAGGATGCCCCAGGTTCATCTCAATCCCACAGCCTAGTCCTCCAGGGAGCAGAAATCTGAGACCCCTCAGTAGCCGAGGCTTTCAATCTTTTTTTCTTTTAGGAAGGAAGTCTGGGGAAACATAGGCCCCTAAGATACACCGTTGTGTTCTTGACTGGACCCTGGAGCTCAACCCCAATTGGACTGTTTGTGGAGCTCCCGTCCATGTCCTGTTCCCCCATCCCAGTTCTAGCAGCTCTTAAAGGGCAAGGTTTTGGGTCCCTCTCAAACTGTGAACTAAAGGGCAGGGCCAGGATCTCTGCTTTTCTGTTTTCTCCAGACAGATCCCTAAGAGCAAGGCCAAGGTCTGCCATTCCTTGTCCCCCCCAGGCCAAGATCCTTAAAGGCAGACCCTAGTGTGTCCTCAATCAACAGTGTAGTTCAAGGCTGGGTACTCAGGGTGGGGGAGACCTCTATGGCAATCAGAGCTGAGATGCTGGGCTGGACTAGCCTGGGAGTAGAGGGGGATTGGGTTGGGGGTAGGGTGAAAAGGGTGAGAACTGGTGCTATGTATTCATCCATCCCTGGTCCCTGCAGGTGTGTGATCTGCATGTTGGACTTTGTGTATGGGGATGCCATACGCTTCTTGCCATGCCTGCACACCTACCACGTCCACTGCATTGATGACTGGCTCATGCGCTCTCTCACATGTCCCTCTTGCATGGAGCCAGTGGATGCAGCCCTGCTTTCCTCCTATGAGACAAGCTGAATTTGGAGCCTGGCAGCCAACATGTCCCCTGGGCCTACTCAGGTGAGCCCCAGGGGAAAAGCAGCAGCCACTGAAGCTAGACATTTTTCACATTTGGGGAACATACCAAAGAATGCTGAAACTAGGCTGGCACCCACTCAAGAGGTGGTTGTTCCATGGATGTCCTGGCCTGAAACAGACCAAGCTGACACTTCAGTGTTCCTAGCTCGAAGTTTGACTCTTTTTCAAGTCAAGTAACTAGTTTCCTCCCCCACCCACCATGGACGATTTTTACTGCTGAGTTTTTAAAGATGATCCGGAAAGCTTAATCTTTCTTTCTCAACCCATAATGATGAGCCCTGGAGCCCAGTACCTAAAACTTCCCCTAGGGGTGATGGGAGAGGAAGCGGTTCAAATCCTAATTCTAGGAGTCAAATGTCCACTGTGGCTAAAGCCCAGTGAGGATTGGGGTGGTAAGGGTGCAGGAGGAACAGATTATATTGGTCCCCTCTCTGCTTGGGCCTTTGCTGGTGGCACAATGAAAACTAGGCAACTTTTACTAACAAGCCTGATTATTTTGATTTTCCTTTGAACCTACCATCTGGGGATGTGAGAAGGAATCTTTAGTCTCTCTTCTACCTCACTCTGACCAGACCGTTTTGGGTCAGAATCCTGGAACCTCCTGAGTTGGGTCAACTTTGGTCACTCACAATATCTGCACTCTGTTCTTTCATAATCTTGGGAGATGGGCAAAAGGGGATTGGGGTATTCATCTGTCCTTCCTCTACTCCCTGGACAGATTGAATCTTACTTGCCTTAAAGGCCTTGGTTTTGAGCTAAGGACAATGGGTCATGCATGACTTACTTTGGGGAACAGGGTTCTTAGGTTTGGGGTTTTTTTTAAAGCTAAACTAATTTCGTGGAGCAGGGATGCAGAGAGGGAAGCAGCATGACATGGTTTCATACATATGGCTCACCTGAGGAGGAACTGTCTTCAACATAGCCAAGACAACCCCACTCCCCCAATCCCAGGGCACAGCCCTCCTTTTTGCTGGCAGGGACTCTTGCCCCAGTCATTTGGGTGTCCCCAGGCCACCCTCAATGCAGGGGAAGGGTGACTAGAGAGGAGCCTCATAAATGATTATCTCTGGGCTAGTTCTAGTAGAAGAGATGAACAGGGCCCCTGATCATGTGGAAGACAAGCAATAAAATGTGTTGCACATAAAATGGGACCCTTGTGCTGTCTGAAATGGGAATCAGGGCTGGAGATCAAGAGCATTCAGTCCTGCTACAGTGCCAGACCCAAAGGAATAAGATTAAGCCCAAGCACTAAGTAAAAGACCTATGGTCTTGTTAAAGCCACCAACAGGACAGAACTTCAGAGTTCAGGCTCCCTGAGGAAGATGAATAAGAATCCAAATTCGTCTGGGTTCCTTAGGAAGTATGGTCACAGCCTGTCACAAGCACACTGGTTCTACTGAATAAAACCTGAACAGATGACTGGCTTGGCTCAGCTCACTCCAGAGAGTAGGTAGAATTACTCTCCCCACTTATGAACAAACTTAGGGCAGTGTTTTCTCTGTAAGGAGCAGGATCTTGAAGGGTGTTGAAGTCTCTTCTTATACTGAGCTCAGATCCTATCTGATGCCAGTATGTTCCTGATGAACCAAGGGGCAGAGCTCAAGAAGCCTGGGGCCTTATATCCACAGCTGGTGAAGTAAGCAATAAAGGCTATTTAGGATACTGATTCTCATAGAGCCTGGGCTATTCCCAGAAATCAGCTGTCAGAGAACTAGGGTATCAGCAGATACCTGTGGCCTGGCAGTTAAGAGGTGAAAGCAGGAGGGACAGCTAGCCAGTGTGTTTTCTGGGTTCAAATCCAGACTTTCTGCCCCTTACCTTCTAAAACTGTGACCTTGAGCAAGTCACATCCTTTGTAAGCTGTAGTTTCCTCATTTATAACATGAAAGGATCAGACTAGGCAGATTCTAAGGTCCCTTCCAGCTCAACATCTGAGCCTGTGATCTCAGGGACTCCAGCTTAGAATAAACTAGCAGGCAGGGGACAGAAGCTGCCTCCAGAAGGAACACATACAGGCAGCTCTTAGATCACTTTTTTATTTTCATTTAAAGTCAGCATTTTTAAACATTAATTCCTTGGGGAAAGGTAAAGGAGCCACACAAAGGGACATGTGTGGGGGAAGAGAAAGGGAGCCAGAAGGAAGAATAATGACCAGTGGCTACTCCAAGTTCAGACAAGCAGAGCAGCACCACAAGACAGCAGGAACTACACCTTTACCACCCCCTGCATCCTGAAGCATTACCTCACTGTCCAGGGACAAGCACCATCCATGCTACTTGGGGGGGGGGGGGTTTAGGAAGAAAAGGGAAAGCACAAGGAGCAAATGCCCTAACCAGCCGGGGGGGGGGGAAACTTGCCCCCAAAGCTACCCAGGACATTCAACTGGGATAGGACAAAAACATCATTCAGTGGCAAGGGACAGTCTTCACGCCCCAGTCAGGTTCACTTTCCCTAGCCAAAGGGCAAAGAGACACACGCTGGGTCAAAGGAACTGTCCCTTCAACATTCTCCCAACACAACACACAAGAAACACTTGCCCCACCACACTTCCCCAGGCACCTAAACACAGGCTGAAGGGGATAGTTAAAATAAAGGCAAAAATCAAAAAGTTAAATTTGAGGTGTCCCTGAAACATGGCCTTAGACAAGAGCCTTCAGAGGAAAATACATACTCAAAAAACAGCACACTTATGAAGGGGATGCAACAGGGCAAGCAAGAGGTTTAAGTTTTGGAGTGGGTCGAGGGAAAGGGGGACAGAAATATGGATTTAGGGCATGTGGACACCAAATTATTTTTAAAAATAAGTTTTAGAAGAGTCTTGCTTCACCTGAAGGTGAGGGGGTTGGCACAGATACTGGCCTCACAGCAGGCCAACCAGTTACAATAGAAGTCTCTGATGTTGGAACTCCCTTTGAAGGTCATAAGGACTCAGAGGGGCCCTGGAGAAGGGGATAAGGACATCTAGGGGAGGGACAAGTAGAAGACTAGGGGTGGAGAATAAATGTCACAGGAGACCTGGGCAGAGGAAAGAAGTCAATCTAAAGAAAAAGTGAGGAACACCATCAAAACTCCACTGAACTCCATTGTCCAGTGCCACCTGCCAACCCCACCCAAACCACCGCAGCCCAATACATTACAGGGTAATAAAACAGGAGCCAGGCTGCTAAGAGACCCAGCAAAATCCCATCTCTAGAAAGAGGGTGTTTCTGACAAGCCCTTACCATACCCAGGGGACAGAGATGGTTTCCCAAAAGATACCACTGAGTCTACCAAACCAGAGGGGCCCCTAGAAAAGATGGCAGCACCAACATAAGCCCTGGGTACAACTCCGGGAGAAGTCATTCTCAATTTCCTAACCTGTCTTTTTAATTCAAGAAAGAAAAGAAAAAACAAAAATCCTCCAACTATTTAGTTGAGTTCTTTACTTCCCAGAAGTGATGGGAAAGAAAGGGAGGGAGGGATGAAGGATTGGACAGAAGGGTGGTGGGGAGGAAAAAGATCGAGAGAAACAGTAAACCACATACTAATAAGTCTCAGAAGTCAAGTGCTCAAGGTATAAAAAGTCTTGAAGAATCATCCGCTGGCGCCAGAAAGCTACAAGTTTGTCTTCTGTGTTTTGAGTCCTTGGTGAAAATGCTATTGTTCTTTTGCTGCGTTAAATAAGTATGTACAATGCAGAAAGTCCTTGGCGGAAAGAGTTATTTCACCAGGGGCCGGGTTTTGTCATCATCACTGCACTGATGTGCCTTGTATTTTTTCACTTCCGCCATGTACTTGGCCCAAGCGTCTCCTTTACTTGTCATAACCTGGGGAGCAAGGGACAAAGGAGGGGGGAGACAGGCACAACAAGCCATGAGGCCTAGAAGCAAAGGGCTTCAGGATGCCTAAGGGCCAGTTCTCCCCCTAGGCCTTAAACCCTGGCCTACTAAATAAGGAGCCAGGTTCACAGTAGCCTAGGAGAAGGTCCTTTCAGCTCTGAAGTCTGGACTTTTGTTTTGACTTTGGCCGGCCACTCCTATTTCTCCCTTGAAGGAAAAGCCACCCCTAGACCCCAGGACTGCACGTGCTTCAGGCACTCACCTCATCCTCCGTCTTCTGCTTCTTGGCTACTATTCCTGTCTTGAGGGCTAGCTTGTTCCCGCCTCTCCGCTTGCCCACCTGGGTGAAGGGATAGAAGACTGCAACCATTATAGGAGCCCTGGGGGCTGCCCTGGCGGCCATGTAGCCCACTACACAACGGGACAGGGAGTCCTGGCCTTAGATCATCTTAGCTCCTCATGCCTGTCGTGTAGTACCAAGCCGTGCCCAGCCTGGCCAACCTACGCAGCAATCAGAGAGGAGCACAAGGGACTTCTCAGGACGATGCAGCCCGAACCTGCTCAGTCAGCCCCGTCAGGGCAGTGAGCCTGATGATAAGCCTGGCTCCACCTAACACCGACCTGACCCCCATCCCCCGACAGAGCCCTACAGCTAACCACAGAGGTTAGATGACAGCCAGCTGCCCGCACCATTTGGTCATCTCAATCAATGGCTAGTCTTGGAAAGACCTGAAGGCCCCAGCTCCAGCGTCTGATGTCTCAGCATCAGTCTGCTCGTTTCACACACATCTTTCTTAGGCCGTCTCCCCTCCTTCCCGGCCCCCGAGTCCCTTCAACAGCCTTCCAAGCCGTGGCACACCCGCCCCTCCCACCCCCTTCCATCCAGAGCAGGAGCGGTAGCAAAGGTCAAATTTGGGGGGATGACAACAGAAGCGGGGCCCGGCCGGGCCGCTCCTGGCTTTAAAAGGCGGGGAGTGGAGGCCCTGAGAGCGACGCCCCCCCTCCCACACCGGGGCGCCCAGCGCCCGAGGGGAGGCCCGTGCTACGGGGCCCTCGGCGGCGGCAGCGCCCGGCCCGCCCTCCCCAGCTCCCGGGATGGGCCCTCCCTCTGTCTGTCCCTCGGTCTCTCTGTCTGTCCCGGCGGCGCGGCGCGGCCCGTCCCGCCCTCCCGCGGGCGGCGGCTCCTTACGAA